GAAGATGTCATCTTCGTGCTCATCTGAGTCGGATAAGAGGAACTCAGAGGCATCCTCTTCATCCTCCTCCATATAATCCAGCTCTAGGACATCCCCCGCGGGTGGAACCACGGTGAGGTCCAGTCGGGAGTCCCAGCTTGACACAGCGCGGGGCTCCACTCTCGCGGCTCTCGCCGCCGCCGGATCCCAGCCTGACACGGCACGGGCTCTGACACAGCGTGGGGCTCAACCTCCGCTGCGGTCGTCACCATGTCTCGATTGCCGGCCGGCGAATCAACAGACATGAAGAGGTCCTGTCCCGACAGGCTAGCTTGGTGCGCTAGCCGTCGGCGGAGGCTCTTGGTGGTGAAGCGGGCACAATGTCCGCACGAACCGGGGGCATCGATAGCCTCCTGGGCGTGTTCCAGCCCAAGGCAGGACGAGCAGACCTGGTGTGAGTCCGTGCGAGTAGCCGGCAAGCGCCCGTCGACCGAAAGTTAGCTTGTGGTTCAGTCTGTGGAAAGTTAAGCTAGCCCGGCTACTGATATTTTGAGATGTGATCCGAAGCGAGAAGAGGTGTTTGAATGACGCTGCGACGTAGCGCAAGCTACTTAAAGGGTGGTTGGATTCCCTGACGTAGACGTCAAGATCACCAGCCAATCAGGATTGGCGTAATGAGATTGATGCTTCTGTTTGCATACGCGTTGAGGCGCATCTCATAGTGAGACATCGAACGGAGTGTTATGAATGAGAACTGAAGTTACCTACTGTAACTCCAGCTTCTATGAGTAGGCTATAGGCATAGCCCTCTAAGGCTATCGCTGGAATAGGAAGGAGGCCCGACAATCTGCTCCCATACAAACAGCTTTTCTTCAGCTATTCATGGAGCCAGTGGGGCCCAGAACTTAGAGGGCTGTGCCTATACTCATAGAAGCTGGAGTTACAGGTAACTTCAGTTCTATTTCGTATAGGCTTCGCTATTGGGTTAAGGGCGAAGCATGATGTAGTCTGCCAATGGGTCCGCCCGGTACCAGAAGCTCAGACACACCTACTCAAATAATAACCCATGCCTACATGTTTGAGAACCCTCTATGAAACGTCAAGCTACCCCACAGCACACCCAAAAGAAAATCTCTGGCGTCGACACTGTCCACGGCACATGACGGTTTTGTGTGCCCTCCCATGAAAATGATATGCCCTCTCTGTAGATTTGTTCTGGCGCCGGGTCTGTATAGGACATGTCAGTCTGTGCTTTTAAATTGGGGTTTTATATAGTTTTTACGTCACGTATGAGAGTTTTCAGTCTGTGGCTTTAAGTATGGTTTTATTGTCCTGTGTTATACATTTGTTGTATGTCCTATCTGCTTGTTATTTAAAAAAAGGTTCTTATATATAGTAAGGCAAGGTAAGTTTATTTATATAGTACCTTTCAACACAAGGCAATTTAAAGTGCTTCACAACAATTAAATACATTAAGAACATTAAAAAATAGTGCAGTTGAAACACATTATAAAATGGCATTTAAAAACAGTAAAATAAAGATAATAAAAGAAACATTAAAAACGACAAGAAAATTAATCTTTGGCCTTTAAACCATTTTTATTTTCAATTCCCGGAATTAGGATATTTAAACCATTAATGATGTGCTATAGAAATAAAGTTGGATTGGATTAATGTTCGATAACACTCTCGTGCACAAGCTGACGCATACACATGTTTCATTCAAATAACAGCACTAGTGCCAGACTCCAGTGAGTGAATGCTAACTCATGTATAAAGTCTGGTTGCTATCAATGGGAGATGGCCTGCAGCCACAGAAGGTGCAAAGGAAGCACATCCTGCCAGAGACTGGCTTCAAACAAATATGTTGGCTTCAAAGAGAAACAGATAATTGGAAATTATACTGTGGGGGGGGGGGTTGGAACAATGCATGTGGCCCTAACCACCATGTTGAAGTGAAGTCACACCAAGAGCATCATGAGAAAGACTCAAGGCGGAACACTCTCCTTATATTAAGTGCAAAAAGTTACTTGATTGAATGTTAGACCTAAGCATTTCTAATTGTCCCTCATTATTTTAAAGATCTTGTTTCTAATACTTGTTTAAATAAAGTTATTCAAACAAGGTATTCTTAAGATTCCCTCTGATATGCTTATTTTCTGTTTGCAGGACCTGAAGCTGATCTGCTGCCTCGAGTGGTGCGTTCAAGTGCCTGTCAAGAACACAACAGCCTACACACTCGCCTGGATGTAGTGGAGAAGGTGCTGTTTCCAAACCAAACGACTTTCAGCGCTCAGTGGTCGTTTATTTTTAGTGCCAATATTTTCAGCTTTATCATATTTTTTGCTTTCTCTCCGACTGCCAGAAAATCCTCAGTATTTCCTTTAATGGTTAAGATGTGGACAAAGCTGTGGCTCACTGCCCATTAAAACCCAAATATTTGTCTACTTTTCCAAAAACGCTGATCAGCCCACATTCATCGGACAACCCCCATGCTAAGCTTAAATTAGCTAAACCAGATGTTTTCAGAATCAGAATCAGAATACCTGTATTAGTCCCACAGAGGGGACATTTACATTGTTACAGCAGGAAAGAGCCAAACACAGCTTAATGTAACCTAAGCATGCATAAAAAAGTATTAAAGATTACAAAAAATAATAATTTAAAAAAGTTACACATTTAAAAAAACACACATCCTGTAACAGTTCTGAGAATTTAGCAGCCAGGTATTGGGCATCTGTATAAATCATATGATTAAATGATTGCCTTACTCATCATGTGTGATAATTCTACTATTCATAATATAAGTAATGAATGCATTATTCATTATATCAACCACACAAATATGTCTTGTTCCTGCTACAGAAAGTGGAGGACACAGTGGAGAAGTTGGAGGTTGAGCTGGCTGCTCTCCTGGAAGCCATTGAAGCCCCAAAGTGGAGCTCCCTGCTGGACAATACAGGAACACCAGCAGTGGATATCCTGGAAGACCCCGAGTGGAGGTCCTAAAGCGGAGCCATTTATATTCATGTTATTCCTATAGTCTAAGACACTCCGAAAACAATATGGTGAACTCTCTCCTAAATCTAAAAAACGAGAGTTCGAAAAACCTAAATGTGTGCTGTCGTCAAGTTTAGGCGACTGTTAGAGGTGGTGGGGTCGTCTGAAGGTTTGGGGTTTGATCCCAGCCTATACAGTCAACATGTTGATCTTTCCTTGGGCTAGATACTTCCTCCTATGACCAACTCTGAGCATCTCTGAATGTTAGTTTCCTCAAGGTCTTTGAGGGATCATAAAGACTGGAGAAGCACCTTATAAATGCAATCATTCAATCAACATTTACCATTGTACAAAGTGTGGAACTGCTCATAAGTAAATTACTATATTAAAAAAAGATCTCTCCTTCATTCTTTAGAGCTGATCAGACTATACTTGATGACATCACAAGTTGAAAGCTTTTCAGGTGTCTGGCTTTGAGAGGGACTAGCTCATGTTCACATTGATTGATTTAACTTTCTTAGGTCATGGAAATAATATGTGAATGTTTTTACTTTACGTGGTCCCTTGAAATAAATGTTAACTTGTTTTTAGTGGTGTGTATTCATTCACCGTGGCAGTGTCAACATGATGTTTTGATCTTAAAATAGGGGCACATTGTAAAGCTTGTCTGCATTTTGACTTTAACTAATCCTGTGACAGCCTCATCCCCTCTGCAGTACAGTAACACAGCTCATGTGAATTCCCTTTAGATGCCTCTGCTCAATTTATACCCATCTTCATCGCCCTCTACTGTCTGCAGACACAGTGTGCCTTTAGTTTTGTATTTGAATGGAAATGACTGAGATACTTAATTAAAAGAAGGACCTTTATCTCTTTATCAAAGCAGTTCAAGCAGCATTTGTTAAACACAAAGAGCAGTTTGTTGCAGTTACAGTAGCAAGGCATTTTACGTTTTGATACCTCATCAGAAACCTGATTTATGGAATGCAGTGGAAATAATGTAATGCAATTCATGTGTATTTCAATCAATCAATCAATCAATGTTTATTTATATAGCCCAATATCACACATGTTACATTTGTCTCAGTGGACTTCACAGTTTGTACAGAATAAGATTCCTGTCTCCCACAGCGCATCAAAC